AGGTAGGGCTATGCTCCTCACTCACCTCCTTCAAAACCTGCACCGGAACTTGCTGCATTACGACTGGCATCTCATCCCCTAGAGCATCTAAATCGACTCGCCGCAGATGAGGGCCGATCAGCTTCCGGAAGTCGATTATCTGCCAGCCGTGAAGATTACTGGTAGCATAATACCGGGGATGTGAAAGCCTGAATCTGGCCGAACGTCACGTTTTTTATTGGTTCCAAAGTTTCGGCCGCCTCGCCGATCTGGAATTCATTGGATAGTACGGCTGCCGGTAATTTTGCGTTATCGGTTGAGCTAATTTTCGTTGAAATCGAACTCGCTTTTAAGAGAAAGATAAACTAGAAACTCGCTTTATCTAAATAAACCTTGTAATTTTTATAAACAAATATTTTTATGTAGATTTTTTTCGCCTTGTTTTGCCTTGTTTTGTTTTCTATAAAAATTGCGAAGCTGGGTAATCGAAAAAAAATAAATTTTTCCACATCCAACCTCATCAACCTTCATCTGAAAATCGACCAGCTCCTCGAATTGTCGCTGCACGTCAGCGTCGCCCCACTTCACCGAGGTGCCAAGCAGATCAGCCGTGATGTTTAGATCCTAAACGTCGTCTTTGCTTCGGGAAAACGCCGTATTCTTAGAATGAGATTTCATTCTCACATTCTTTAACCGATCCACAAACTCCTCGCGTGATTCCAGGCGCAGACCGTAATCGTCCAGCCACTTAATCCAGGGTAGAATGCTAATTTCGAAACTACAATCGTGATCACTCCTTTCCGCTCAATTTCCTTCTTCACGAACGGCAGGACTTCGGCGGTGGTCATCGACGTCAGAATTGCCATCAAATTCGGGTTCCCCTGCAAGCAAATCCTTAAAAATTAAATTGAACCCAACCGAACCATGGCCAAGTTGAAGCAACGGCAACAAGTGGAATTTGTCAACAGCATACTCACGGAATAGGCTAAAAAGTTTAAATTAACAAAATCTTAGATTAATTGGTTCTTTTGCATTATCGGTGGCAAAAAAAATATTTTTCTGAAAGTTTCATGCCTAGCAATGTAATAGTAAGTGTTTTCAAAGCGTTTTCAGTGAGATTTAACTGTGTTTAAAGTCAGAAAACGTACAAAATTGTTCGATTTTTTAAAATCTTCGCAAAGCAGTTCTTTCTCTTTTTACTATTTTGTAACAAAAATCTGTGAATCTTAAGAATAGCAAAAAAATTTCGAAATGCTGCCTCGATTTGTACTAGAAAAATGGAATCGAATGTAATGAGATCTCATCGCCCACCAACCGGCCAGTTTCCGGCATTTCCTTGAACTTCTTGCAGGCCTGGTAAAGCCGGTGTGCTTTCCCGAATGATTTCAAACCACCAGCGTCCGGATTCTCTGCATCAAAGACCGCTGAAAATGCATAAAATTTGGCATTTTCACCTTCGTACCGGATACTTTCCTTTCATTTTCTGCCGCCTCTGTGATCATCACGTCTCCCGGTTCTCGCTAAAGTAATTATGCGGAAACATGTTAATTCATAAAAATTACGGTGTTTTCGCATTATCAGGGTGGAGAGCAAATTTTTCCTTCGGAACGGAATTTTCTAATTTTCCTAGAGGAAAGGTTTTTAAACCCTTTTTAAACTATTTCAAGCGTAGACGCTTGCAAATTTTTATTTAAAAAATACAAAAGTGTCGTGCCTTCGACCGAGCTGCCAGAAATTCGTAACGTAAAATTTGTAACGTTTTTAGGTAGTTTTCCACTGGAAATCTATCCAAAATTTTACCAAAAAAAAAAGATATTAAGATACTTATGACTAAGTGACTAGGAATTTCTGGACTCATAGGAAACATTTACATCCCCCACCCCATCGCTAATGCAAAAGAACCGAATTCGGGGCTACAAGGACGAAGGACGGCTGGGCGAGGGGTAAACTAGCGGTGGCTCAAGTCTAGGAAACCCCTCCAGCCGACTTTTCAACTTTTCTACCTCCCTTATTTTTATTTTTCGCTACTTTTTTCCACTGAACTGCAATGTAGTCTTACTAATTAGCCTACGGCGAACATTTTGGTATACTTTAGAGCTCGCTAGCACAAAGGGGGGCCGAGATACAAAAGTTGGTGCCGGCTGGGGGGGGGTTTCTAGACTCTTACCCTAGCGGTGAACGGATGATACCGTTTTCAAAAACAATACCTTATTGAAGGCGCCGCAGGCGTATTCGTGAAAGTTTGTGCACGGGTCGACTGCCTTGTCCATGTTCTCGAGCTGGAAACAGTTAAAGTTTCATGGCTGGCCAATTTTGCAGCTACCAGAGCAGCGGCCGCTCGTACGCAGCCTGGGGTGATGCACACATTTTGGCTGTCCACCTTAAAGCGATATTTGTTGCGGGAAAGCGCGAAATGGTCTACGTTGTACTCCGGCTCTTGGTGCGACGAGTTCGCGATGGTCAGCAGGACAGAAGCGACTGCTAAGTTCAACGACGTGACAGTAAGAAGGTTCTTGCTCATTATTGGGCAGGGGGGCGGGGAGATGGGTGTACCAAAAGATGCCAATTAACGTAATATTAAGTATCTTAATAGATTTTTGGTAAATTTAACGGTATTACAAACTAAGAAAGCATCCAAGGAACTTCAACAACTTTAAAAATTCCAAATTTTGAAAGAAAATCTATAATTTTCTTATTTTTTAAGAAAATGTGTGAGTTAAAGGATAAACGGATAGCTAGGAACCACTTCATCGATGTACCTTGACCAGCATGAGTTTCCCGAAGGAAAAGAAACTCACCGATAGGCACACAGAACCGCATGCTCTTTTGCAAATGGTCGTCTGCTCCTCTTTCGGGTGTTTGCAAAGCACGTTATGTATTTTTTGAGTGTATGCTGATCATATTTAGAGCATCACCCGAAAACGACGTTTATTTGACAAACACCTCGATGGAAAACCCCGAGATGAGCGAGAAAATACACACGCGAGACAAGCCGGGCACATAATAAAAACGACAGATATCCAATGATCGAGGGTTTTTCCGCTTGACCTAGAGCAGCTGCTTGTGGCGCAGGATGCGGCACTTCTTCGGCGGATTCATCGGGGTGCCGATCTAAGAAGCCATTTTGAATCGGCAACGAAAAAGCCATTACCGGGCAGCGGAAGGCGCGGGAGAACGGCTCAAAGTTTTGGTAGAGCTGAAAAAAAGCCGAAAATTAGTTGTGTTTGAAATCTCCCCACAAAGTTGGCCCGGTAGGCGGGTTGGGGGTGAACACTGAAAAAAATAATTTTTGCCAATGAAAAAATTTGCGGGTGAGAATTGTAAAAACTTACTCGTTGAAAAGAGGATCATCCGGCGTCGGGGGCCAGGCGAGCCGACCGCAAAATTTCTGGAATTGATGGTAAGGCTCTTATTTTTTGACTGTATCACTCTCTCTGACTCTCTCACTGCCTCTCTCTCTCTCTCTCTCTCTCTCTCTCTCTCTCTCTTTTTTCTTTCTCTCTCGCCGAAACGGTACTTTCCTACCTGCGCATCAAAGAGGAAGAATGTCTGCTCAGGGGTGTATTCAGTAAGTCCGGGCCATCGGGGCGGAACGTTTTTGAACTTACGCCTCTTCTCGTTGAGGTAAGCCGGAAAAAATCTCTCTATCAAGTGCCAGACTAATACCCTGTAGGTCACTCTCAACCCGTTCAAATCCGGCGTCGACTCCTTGAGCGCTTTCTCGCCGGTCAACTAAAGCAAGTTGCAAGCTGGAAAATTTCAAGGAGAACCCAGATCGTAAAGTTCAGCCACGGATTCGGGTAGACCATCCTGTCGAACAGCTCGACCAGGCACTTTTGACGCTCCACCATCTCGGTCCGGTCCTCTTCGGGGGTGTCTTTTGGGAATTTGTCTGAAGCGGTTGCCATTAGGGTCACCCTGGCATAAATTCTTCTGTTAAAACCCACCTGGCAAATCGAGCGTATGTGACATTTCGTGAGCGATGATGGCGCCGAGCCCGCCAAGTCGCGCTTCCAACGGCCAATCATGAGAAAAGTGCGGAGGCGCGAAGAAGAAGGAGGTCATATCTCAAAAATGGATCGGGGGTGAAGCTTCTACTAGGCCCGAGATTTTCTTGCCCTTGGACTTATGATAGAGCTTATTAGACTAAGCCCAGGCTTGACCGTGACTTAGGCTTAGCTTTGACTTGAGCTAAGGCTTTGCCCTTGGCGCATCCGCTAAACCCGAGCTAAATTTCGCGTTGGCTTAAGTTAGGCTTGATTAAGTCTTCGCTTCACGACCTTTCACGACCCGACCTTCGTTTTATTAGACCAGGCTTATTGGATCATGCTTAATTTACAATTAGGCTTAGACAAAGCCTATTAGACTAATAAAAAACTATACAATTCCTCACCGATCTCCTGGTGACCATGGCTTGCCGACGGTTTGTCCTGCGCCTCCCGGATTTCCTGAAAGAACCAGCCAGATTTTCCACAGTAGTGCCAAACGTACCCCCACGAACCAAAACAGTCTCCCGTTGAATAGGACGTCGACGAACGTGTTGAAGTCGGCGCCGTGGCCCTAAAAAGGTACGAACTATTTGTGTCAGCTCGCAAACCCGATCGTAGAGGTCGTCGACGAGCGTCGCATTAAAAACCAACGGATCGGGCCCGAAGTTGAATGTAAAGGTGCTGATCTGAAGTCGAGGGAAACTAATAACATCCGGTTTCGCACCTCGTTGCGCAGCCACGTCTTCGATTCTTGTGACAGCCACTCGTTCTCGTCGATCACCTCGGCGTACGCGCTTTGAAGGGCGGGTAGCATTTCCTAGCGTACAAATTTTAGTTTTCGCATAAGTTAATATCAGGTTGGAAAGAAAGTAATGGCACAAAATCTTTAAACCGCTGTAGAAACCCGTAGGAACGTCCGATTCAAAAGTTTGTTATATGGTTTGGTATCTCAACATCTATCGATATCTACTGCTCGAGAGCTATCGATTGGTGTTAAAAGTATCGTATGCAAATGCCTTTATGCAGAGATATCTCGCTTGGAAGCTTTCCTCTAATTTTCTGCGAAACTTCTGAGGCCTGTATCTTCGCGTCCGTCAGTTTTTGTGCGCTTTGAGGGTCGTCTCGTGATAGAGCATCCGAAGATCTATTAGGTTGTACCATAAGTAACTGCAGTTTTTTGAACGTAAAATTTTCATATAAGCCACCATTCATTCTTTCCAATTTTTCAAGATGATGAAGGGTCATGTGTAGTCTGTCTGCAGTTATAACGATAACCCGGGACTCCCACAACTTTTCGAATTATCCAGAGAAGACTGCGTGCAACTCGAGTTTTGAGCTATTTCGTTTGTGTGACGGATAGCGTGGGTGATCTTAACCCCAGCGCCCTGAATAAGCGGCAGTAGATAGAGAAATTTATGCGCTATAAAGCGTATGTAACCGAATTTTGGTACCTAGTAGCATGACTTTTTTCCAGGCCATTTTTGAAAGATGTCAAATTGGGTTTTTGGGCCCCGAATCGTCAATTGTTTTGTTGACCGTTTTCTCCGAGTTCTGTGGATAACTTTTTGAGAAATTTTTAAAAAAATGGAGCTGAGTTATACCTGCTTCAAGCCTATAGGTTATTTAAACACAAACCAGGGTTGAATTAGCCTTGTCAAGTTGAAAAGCCGCTTCGCGACTTTTCAACCCTGACCCCGTCTAACTTGATGAAATTCTTCACTCTGCATACGTCTCTCGAATAAGTATGGGGGGAAAATAAGGAATTCCACTCTCTCACGTTATATATAGGCTTCCGCCACTTCGGGCGTATGTTAATTATTTCCTAACAAAGAAGGCTGCCGGATTTTTCAACAAAAACTCAATTTTAAGGTCGAAAATAGCATAATTTGCAAAATCAGACATGCGTGCAGGCATCTCGGGGACGTTACGCACCTAATGACGTATCATACATAGCCCAACGCCCTTCCCCGCTTGAGATATCCTCCGGACACGGTGACGGAAGTTGCATTCAAATGCACACACACACACACACACACAGGAACTATCAACTATAATAATTTTCTTGACGCGTCTGTCCGTCTGTCTGAAGCCGAATTCAACTCGAAGGGGAAAAGAGCTAGAGCTTAGCTCTCTTCGGATTCGGATAGAGCGCCGTCAGAAACCCCCAAACTGATAAAAAAATTATGAAAAAGTTTTAGTTTAAATTATTAAAATTAACTTTGAAAGTTTTTTCCTTAGTAAAAGGGGTGGGGGACGGAGGTTGGGGTGTTTTTGGACATAGTGAGCCAGGTGACGCGCGTTTCGTGGATGAAAATTTTCATGGGGAATTTCATTTCTTTTTTTCTCTCATTCCATCCGGTCGGTCGTTATTTTTGGTTTTTTAACGGGATTTCGGCTAGGGGAGATATCTTAAACCATCGGGAAAGTATTTAGGTAGTTTTTGAAGGGGATTTCAGCCATGGGAGGTATCTGAAGCCATCAGGGAGGGATTTATGTAGTTTTTGAAGGGGATTTCAGCTATGGGGGTATCTGCAGCCATCAGGAAGGTTATAAGGAAGGATATACCGATTCTTCCATTTCTTTTTCCCCAGCAAGTGGGTCGGTGGTTGCGAGCGGGATCTCTGGGTCCCGCGACGAATAGCCTGCCCGGTCAGGGCTTTGCCCCAGTACCTGCGCCACAGTGAAAATGGGTGGGGTTTGATCGTTCGTTGTTAATTTTTCTTCGATCTTTGCTCATGGTCTACGTTTAGGATTTACTAAGCCCTTCGCCTCTTCTCGCTTACCGGCGTTTTCATTGTGTCATTTTAATGTTCATTTTCCAGATGTCATTCGCAAGGATCGTCGACATTGATTACGAGGATGACATCAAGGCCGAAGCCAGCGAACATCTGCCCGGTCAAGGCGATGTAGAGCAGCTGAATGCCGAGGAGGACGATGCCGGACAAGGACTGGCGGTGCAATGCATTGCCGTAGCACAACACCTAATGCCAAGACAGGAAGAAGCCGTCGACATCATTCTAAAGAAGAAGCGAAGCTACGAAGAATATTACCAGGAGCGGCGTGCGACTCTTCAGCGACTTACAATTCAGCCCAATAAGAGAAAGGCATTGGATCGCCAACGTGAACGTGCGGCGACCCAGGAAGATCATCTACTCAGGAAACATGCTGGATTGCAGGCGGGTCGTGAAAACGCGCAAAAGGAATTTGAAAGAATCATCGGGGAATATGATAAGTCGCTCAAGAAGTCGAGTGACGATATCGATGCGAACCGGCGGTGGAAGGAAACGATTGCTCAGCGTGAAGCGGAAAACGAAAAGGCGGCAGAGCAAGACAAGAAGCTTTTAGCTGAATTAGATGAAGAGGCAATTATGGATGATTCGTTTTAACTTTTTACTAATAAATGTTTGTACACTACTGCGGACGTTTCATCAAGCCGTCGTTTTGCATGACAATATCTTCTCATCTTCGTTCGTCATCCCGTTTTGTACCGTGGTGAGCCAAGTGGGGGCGCGTTTCGAGAACAGGGGGTGGG